AAGCTGTTTTTTCATTGCAGGGCCTGACAAGGTGCCAGTCAAAATATTCACTCTTTTCTTGAAAGTATGAGCCATTTATTACCACTAAAAGGAATGTTAGAATGAGGAGTCGGGTTAGATGTAAGGTTTGGAACTGCAGATCTTGAAGAGCATAGATTGCTGACAGCCATATTTGAAGATACCTTAATTTCTGTTCTACTGTGGGACATGTATGATGATCAATGTGCATAAAAATCCATATTAATTACCACATGCTGCTGCCCAAGAACTTCAGGAGACTAGGTTCCATAGGTATCCATAACATCCATAGCTAACAGTTAGGTTAGGTTAGGTTAGGTTAGGTTAGTAATCCAAATAGTGAGGATCCAGTATTGTCACTACAAGCTGTACAGTCCTCAGTATTAGGAATGGGGATGAAGTCAGTAAGAGGCTGTTGTTCATGGTGGGGTTTTTGTTGTTTCAGACATGAGTGTCACAGTTACAGTGAAAGTAGGAATTAGGAACAGACCTTGGAAATCTAAAGCCTTAAAGACTGAGTGGTTCTCAAAGTTGTGAAAACTGCAGCATGTTGGTATCACTAGTGATCAGCTCCATCTTTCCATACGTGTGGATTCTCTAGTTAAGAATAGGAATATTGGATGAACAGACTTTTTTGTAAGGCCTTCAGAGCTAGGAAGGGTACTGGTGTCAATAGTCACCATATATATATCTCCATATTTTTCTGATCTGCTGAAGCAATATGACCTTAGTTTTATCTTCAGATACTATAAGGGTGAAAGAGAAAACAAATTTTAGGCGTTTGGTATTCAAACAACCAGACTGAGTTTGCTGCTGGACATACAAATATAAGAATAGGGCTGGTGTCAGAGACTGGCTGTGAACTGAAAATTTGAGGAGCTGTGTTTATGGTCTGCTTTGATGAGGTGTTGGACCTTCCTTGTAGCTATAGGTGTTTTAGGTAAAGTTTCAGAATTGGTTGAGTTCTGAAACATTTATTCATGTAGCTGAACTTCCCATTGAATGAGAATGAGCACTAGCACTAAGCTAACACCTTGCATTCCACAGGACTAGATCCCTTCACAGAGCTACCTTAGGGCCCATGTAAATAAGGATATTGTCTGCCCTAGTATTGGAGGTAAGATCAGAAAACTTAAGACTGCATCTGAGTCAGTCAATAAAATGCAGTCAAGGCAATCATGCCATGCCCTATCCATATTACATTGTAGTTAAATGAGGTCCTCTCAGGGGTCCACGGTGTCACCTGTGCCCTTTGAGACTCATTTTTTTTTCTAGAGGTGCTGATTCAAAAATTGTGCAAGGGTCCATTATAAAATGGTTGGAGTCCCTCCTGTGGTTATTATGGTAAAAGCTAAGATTTGAAATGCTGCTAGCACATGGAAATCTAAATCTACAAGAAATTAATTACTGCTGGCTTCTTCTGCATTGGCAGCTTGACACAAATGGGAGACAATTGTTCATGTGGTCTTTTCCTGCACACAGTGGTCCAGTGGTTTAAATTAATGTTAACATTTAGGCTCTGAGACTTCAGAGTTCCAAGAACTGTTTTTAATGCTGAATGTTAAAGGATCAACTTGTGCCAGCAGGTATCAGTGTTGCTTTTTCTCTTTTTTTTTCTATGAGCCAATTGCTCACTTGTGTATCAGAGAAGGGTTAAGAGTTTAATTGAAACTTGAAGATACAAATGTTGAATATTTCTCGGAATATGAACCTTAGCAGAGCTCTGCTCTCTGTAGGTGCCAGTGCCATGCTCTTTCCTGTTAGCATGAACATGTCTTTGGCCTTAACATTAGTATTTGAGAAACCCAAGTTTCAAATATCCAGTATATTTCCTGGATGGTCTGGGGTTTCAGGGTAAATGAGAGCTCTGACAGCAATATTCACTAGTGTGTGTTATGCTTCTGGGGGTTCCCTTGGTAGAATTGTAACTGCATTTAATATCAGAGCTTTGGAAGCCAAAGGGTTCCATGGTGTTGGGAAGGCTGATGTCTGCAGTGGACCGTGCCTCTCTTGTCCTGCCAGTAGAGATGGATCCCCTCAACACAATTAGATAAGGGTATGGTTTGACAATCCAAGCTTTCCAGAGCCCAGTTTCAACATAAGCACAGAAGGGTCTGCAAAGTTTGGAAAAGGGACAGTGGGAACTACAAGAAGCAGTATTTTTTTTTCTTCACTGCAGCAACAGTTAGGGGCTGTAAATAAGATTAATTTGACATTAAAATCAGTCTTTGAGAATCTAAGTCTTGAAAATACCAGGATATTCCTGAATTTTGGAGAGCCTGCAGAATTATGAAGAAACTTTTGTCAGTATGGTCCAACTGTACCCAAAAGGAGCATGTTATAGTGTAAAAAAAGGCCCTACCATTTTATTTTGCAGTGTACCAGGGCATCTGCTAGAATCCTGCACAGACACCCTAGCTGGGACTATAAAACTCCACTGCTTTTTATTCCAGCCTCCTGCAAAGACAGGACAGAATTTAACTGCAGCAGTCCTATTAAATGAATGTGCTATCCAACTTCCATGCGTTGAAATAGGCAATATGTTATTTACTTTTGTGTTTAAATAAACACTGTAAATATATGTGTACTGAAAGAATGCAACAAGTACTGTTGCAGCAAGAAAGGGAGAGAGCATACATTTTCACTGTCAGAGTTGTTTTTGTATAAACACTAACCTTAGTGACAGTCTTGTGGAACAGCATGTTGTGACTTTCAAAAGCAGAGCAGGTTTTGCTCTCCTCGTGCACCACCACAGACTCATGCAGGCAGCATCCTCCCACTCCCACGTCTTTTACAAAGCTTTCCAACCTGCTTCTCTCTTTTCAGTAGACTGCTTTCAGTACACTGTCAAAAAGGAAAAATCTCTCATTCTAGGACTCTTTGAAATGGGTTTAACTGAAAAAGAAACACACTGATTTGATGCAAGTTTGGCATTCTGTGGGCTAAGAGGTCAGGCGTATGGTAATCAAAATAAAATAAATACTAAATGTTTTGTATTAGTCTTTTTGCAGAATGAAAGTTGTAAAAGACAACTAGTAATGTTTTCTTGTGAAAAGAGCATTTAAAAATAAAAAGTACCTTTATTTTTACATAAATTCCCTTTTTCCCTGGCACTTTCCTGGGACACAAGATAGGGAGAGACGCTGGTGTTCTCTTTCTCTACAGATACAAGTGAGTAGCAAAGCAGTAGGTCATAGTCACAAGAAGAAACTCGACCCTGTGGGCTGCTGCTGTCCTTGGCCCAAGAGAGCCTGATGCCCTTGTGCTTTGTGTCTTGGAAAATGTTAGTTGCTTACTTGTTAGGAGGGAACGTAAAGGCCATCTTTTATCACTGTTAGTGTTTTATTCCTTAGGATAATTTTTTTTCTGTTGATTTTAATTAGTAAGATAGACACTTTCAAGTGTATGCTTCCCTATCCAAAAGCCTTTACCTTTGAAGAGGGCAATCTATCGAGTAAGGTAAGTGCATACCCCAAGCTCCTCTCCCTCATTAACCTCAGCATTCACCAATTTCAATAGCTCTTATCTTTATGGGCTATTCAGTGAAGCTGCAAGTAGCACAAGATGATCTGCAAAAGAAGATGAGGCTGAAATATGATGCTTTCACACACTCCAGCACCATCATAGGCATCCTTGAGTGGTTGACTGTGTAGTTGATGGGTAGGGTGTTAAGGAATCAAAAGCGTATTACATGGCATAGTTCTCCAAAGAACAAATCGTCACTTTTAACATATAGTGTGGCACAAGCAAATATTTTTTTCTCCTTTCTTGAATAAAAGGAGAATTAAAAAATCCCGCAAAGTGGTTTGTATGGCCGTATAATCATCATCACACAGAAAGTCTAAGTCCCAATACTAAGTCATACAAGTATCACTATTTGAATACAATCAGTATCAGTATTTGAATACAAGTATCAGACTACACCGTGTGACCTACAGCGCCACTCAGTTTTTTAAAGAAGGGCAGTTAACCACAATTCTATTTTCTTCAAGGCCATAAAACATCCACCCACGCACATCCATCACGTGCACAAACAAAAGGCAGTGATATTTTGTTTCAGCTTTACACGCTGGCAACACCGCATCCATCAGTCCTCGGCAGCCCCGGATCTCACGCAGCTGCCTCACCTGCCCGAGGCTCCTCCTCCTCCTCCTCTTCCCCGTATCTCTCCACCGACGGGTCTCTCTGCAGGGGATACCAACCCTCCTCCCTGGACTCGCACCGGCCCCTCCAGCCCCGCCCCGCTGGAGCCGGGCAGGTGAGCGGGAGCCGCGGGGCCCCGGGGCTGGCCGGGCCGCCGCTCCGCCCACAGGGGCGAGCCGGCACCTGCTACCTCTCCGCACCGCCCCGCACCGCCCCGCACCGCACAGCTGCTGCCCTCCCTCCCTCCCCGCTGGCCGGGCACCGCAGAGCCGTGCGGCGGCCGCGCTTTCCCGGGGCAGGAGCGCGCTCCCGCAGCGCCGGGCGGGCGCCGCAGGTCAGTGTCGCCTCCCGTACCTGTTGCGCAGGGAGCCGGCGGGGCGGGGAGAGGAGGGAAGGAGGGGGTGGAGCGAGAGGAGCCCCATCGCAGGAGCCCCATCGCGGGAGCCTCAGGACGCGCCGGGCTCCCGGCCTCGTCTCGCGGGGAGGCGGCAGCCCCAAGGTACCGGACCTCGGCTCTGCTTGTGGGTACCGGGGTGGCGAGTGCAGGGAGCGGGTGCCGCGGCCCGGATCCGGGGTGTCATTTACCTGAGACTGAGCGAGCAGCGCACGGAGGCGGGCGGCGCTTCCGAGCCGCTGGACGGGGCGCGGAACGCTCCCGCCGTGCCCGCCGGCGCACGACCCGTCCCTCCCCGCGGGCAGCGCTCCCCGGCGCCGGGCACAGCTCCCCCGCAGCACTGCCCGTTCCCCGGGGACGAGGGGTCCCGGCGCAGACCGAGCGGGGAGGCGGCGTGCCCGGCTGCCAACCCGCCCTCACTCTCTTCCCCCCGCAGGAGCCCGAGATGGCGGACAGCGCCGCGGCCACCGCCGCTCCTCGGCCCGGCGTGAAGGGCTCGGCGGCGCCCTGGTGGAAATCGCTGACCAGCAAGAAGAAGCACAAGGAAGCGGCGGCAGCCCCGCCGCACCCCGTCTCCAGCGAGACCCCCGCCGACACCCCTAGCCCCGACGGCCGGGAGGAGCAGCCCCCTCCCCTCGGCAGCGCCGACGCCGCGGGGAGCGGGGTCGGCAACCGGCGGAGCCTCCGCGTGTCCCACTCGGGCCGCTTCAAGGAACGGCGGAAGGTGCGCACCTCGCTGCTGGCCGACAGCCCCGAGGTCTTCGACGGCGGCGGCGCCCCGGGCCATGCCACCCAAGGGGCCGAGTAGCCCAGGAGGACCTTGCCGAGGAGCTGCCACTGGATGGGTGGCCGGAGAACTGGCGGGACAGGCAGCCGCAGTCAGTGACTGCTCCAGAGCTGGGCTTGGACCCACGGGTGACACACGGGCAGCGGCTCCCAAACCCTGAGCGGACCCTGCGGGGAGCCCGGCACCGCTGCCAGGCGAGGCAATCGCGTGCTGTGTTACATGAACACCGCCAATACCAACCCCGCGGATGACGGGACGATGTGATTGTCTTTTTAAAAAACCACAAATAAACACCCCACTCCCTGTACTGTGGTGAGCGGACTGAAAGGTGCTATCCCAAGGCCTATGATGGGGTCTCTGAATCTTCCTTCCCGCAGCCCTTGCCAGGAGCCAACGCGCTGACTCTGAGGCCTGTGACCCAGCTCCTTCTGGCTCTCAAGCCGAGGAGTCGCTTTGCTGCTTTCACCTCACGAGCTGTCTTATCCAAGGAGGGGGGAACAAAGTGCTCTTATCTAATTTCAGGGCCGAGGACCTCCGGCGCTGCCGACAGCGCGCCTGTCCTGCTGTTATTCACAAACACATCCTCCTTCCCCCACGGGGGTCAAAAGAGAGGTATTGTGAGGGGCAGGTCTTGCCTTCGCCCATGTCCCACATCACATTTACATGTGGAAAAGGCAGGGCCGTGCTGGAATTCTCCCTCTTACTGTGTAATACTAAGCAGGTGTTTCAGAGTCTGGTCCCTCATGGCTCTGTTACAGAGGGAGGCCCATGCTGTCTAGCAATTCGCACTATTTACCCAGGGGATACATGATTTTTGCATAATCGGTGTTAACTGGGATAACGAAGGTCCAATGAAGAAATTGTGGGATAAGACGTAAACATTCTTCTAGGAAATGAGAACAAGTCTGGAGAGCGCAAGCAGGGTTTCAGTTCTGATGTGGAAATAGTCTTGGGCACCACTGAAAGTTTACTGTGTCTGAAGTTTCTGAAGCAAGGTTAAGTGTCCCAGGATTTCTTCTGATGGTGAGATAATGTGCTTTCACTCAAGTGAAAAATCTGCTCCCTCTAAGAGCTCATGGGTTTTTGGACAAATAATATAAGCCAGATTTGTACTGGTGTTGTGCCTTACAGAGCAAAATCAGCTAAAAATACTTGGCAATTAAGCATTTCTTGATAGTAAGTGGTGTAGCAACAACGGACTTATTTATTTTAAATGCATTTGCAATATACTTTATATTGTTAAAATTGTTTTAGAGTTTTTCTGAACATGAGATACTACATAGTGGCAGGCACTGGAAATTATTTCCTAACAGTCAAGTATTATGCAGTTATGATTTTATTTGGTTGCAACTAATCATTTGAGGTCAATTAAAAATAAAAAGTGACTGGAAAGGAAATAAGAACTAAGTTCCAGTTGAAAATATGGATTAAACCAGCCACTGACAATCACTGAAATGTTGCACTAGATGCTGGGCAAGTGCTCCCTGGTTCAATGTGCACAATAATATGTAATGAACCTTGAAAGCTCCTGTGCAATAAACTCAGGCAATGTAGCTGCTGAGGTGCTCACTGGTCATTCACTCCTTCAGACTCTGGAACCTAAGGACAAAGGGACTGTATCTGTATCATCAAATCTATTTCCATGAAAGCTTTGCTTATATTTTTTTTTCCCCCCACCCAGTATGTAGATACATGCTTTAAAAATTTAATTTAGCAAAACTACAAGGTACTGGATTTGGACTGCCTTTTTATGTTTCTAACTCCATGCTGACCAAGCAAAGGTCTGGGGTGGAGGGAGGGGAGCTCTTTAAGCTTTCTCCTCAGAGATGCTTTTCTTATGGGAGGCCTCTTCAGTCACGGGACATCTGAAATCCTTCTCTTGAGAAGAAACAATCAGAGCAAACCTAATCTTGGAAAAAGGGGGGTGAGAGAGAAGGGGGAAAGTTTAAAAGCTGGAAACAGAGGTGGATGAAGAAGAACCGTATTCCAGCTACAGTTAACCCAGGATGGGAGTGGGGGCAAAGGAGGCAGAAAGGGGTGGCCTTGCTGCCAGGGTTGTCATACTACCTTTGGAGGGCAAACTGCTCATGTTTATTACAGGCAGAAATAGTCTGCCTCTGTTTATGTATTCTAAGGTCCAAAGAAATGTTTTTGTATGTGTGTGTGCCCAAAATGGAAGAACAAGTAAGCAGACATTGCACTGATGCACTTCTTAACTCCTGCATCTGGTTTGCTGTGAGTACTGTGAGGGTCAGATCCTCAGAATTAGCCAGAGGCTGGAGAGTGAATGCACACTAGTGTTTTATATATCTCATGTAGATACTTTTCTGCATTTTTAATCATTAAACTGTTGTGAAAATGCAGTTTCGTCCTCCCTTCTGTACCTCAAAGCTGCCTTGTTCTACAGTGAACCTCTGTTCGGTCTTTGGAGATGCCTCAGGTTTGTTTATTGCAAGTCTTTTCCTAGGCACAAGAAATGTCCAGTTTGGGTTTTATTTCAGAAGTCTAGTGTGCTGTTCAGGTGGCTGCTGCTAAGATTCAATATCAACACTGGCTAATATGTGGCTAAATATATGTCTTAATCCTTGCCTATGATACTTCCATCTTGGAAATTTGGTCAGAATACCAAGTCAGTAAAAGCACGTAAAATACTTCACAGCTCTCCTCCATCTTTATCCTGACCTTGAGCTGTGGGAAGGAGACGTAATTCTATCTTCCTGCTCAGCCAAATCCTTGCTTCAATGAATATGATAGCAGCCACTGAAAAACTAGATCCATGAGAAAACGGGCTGGCTGCCTCGTCTCACTTTCCCTGCCCTCTGTGCACAGCAGTACCTGCAGCTTAGTGCTCACCTGTGTACCTGGGAGGGAGGAGGCCTCTTGGCCATAACCAGTTGCACAGAAATAGCCCTCTTGTTTCTCAGCCAGAGTACCAAATAATGCTTAAGTAATCTGTACACATGTAAATTAATTAAGTTGATACACAAAAAAAACCTCGGTGTTTTACGGAGCACCTGAATTACTGTTTTTAACCCTTGAAGTGGAAATAATTTCTTATGTAATGGACAATACTTGCTCTGTTTTAACAATAGTGCATTTCTGGGCATTGGATTATTAAAAGGCAGTTTGCACTCTTAGTATGGGTATTTTTCTCATCTTTATAAAGATCATGGATCAGAAAGTAAGTTGAGGAAATAGGGTGACTGAGAAAGTACTTGCTGTATATTTTTAGAAGTAAACAGTGACATATCGACAAAATAAATGGAAATAAGCAGATGAGGTGAGCCTCAGCTATGTCAGTTATAGTGCAATTTTCTTAATATTATCCCGGATACTAAGGATTGCTGGTTTGGGGCAAAAAATAAATATTTAGCAAATAGAATGAACTTTTCAAATAAACTTGCAAAGTATATACTTGCTTATTCCTACTCTTGCCAAAACTAAAAATAAATCTCTGAGTGGTTGCCTGGTGAATCATTCTCTGCTATTGTAGGTTGGTCAGTCTGGACCTCAACAAAGATTATAGGGAGCACCTGCAGAAAATGATCCTAAATTGGAAACGCTGGAATAAATGTCTTGAAAGCCTTTAGACTTCTAACCTCAGATGTCATGTCAGGTTATGACTTAAAATGAACTGGAAGAATGGAGAGGGGACCTTACTGTTCAGAGAAAGAAAGGAGTCTTCACTGTTTGGAGGGTTGGGTTGGTTTTTTTTAGAGGGGGGAAGAGGTTGTAGGTTTTTTGTATTTGGTTTGATTTTGATTTTCTGGTTTGTTTTTTTTTTTTCCTTTGGAGGTTTTTATGGTGGTGGTGGTGTATATTTTGCTTTGTTGTTTTTTTAGTTCTCTCTTCACTCTAGTGGCACCAGCAAATATATAATTTTATATTTAAAATATCAAGTCTCGTCCCTGAGCAAGATAGCCTCACATGAAGGTTAAAATCTAAAGGACAGAATTCCTGGCCTTGGCTTGGCCAATGCAGCTGGATGCTATTCCTTAAAGTCCATGTTTAATTTGGCTCATTTAAACAGCTGATATCAGAAGACAAGCTGTTTCAAATGCAGGCACAAACTGGAAGCTCATTTTGCTGCCTCTTGGGATTCTATCTGGTAGGACAAAACTAAGAAACCCAAACCTAGCATTTTCTAAGATGTCTTTTAAAAGCTGGGGCAAGAGAGGGTTGGTTATAGCATGATATTTGAGACCATATAATTATACTATTTTGAAAAGCAAACCTTTCCCCTTCATCTCTAATTTATTGCAAATAAGATGAGAAACCTGCTGGCTCTAATTTTTCATTTCAGAATACAACAAAAGAGAGAAAGTTGCTCAATTTCATTGACGCCAGAAGTAGTAGTTTATCAGTTTTATCCTTAATGACACATCTGAAATTCACAATAGCTCTAAGAAACTGTATTTGAATATAGTATTCAACTAAAGCATATTGATTAACAGCTGCAATTTATGAATTTGATTTACTGCCCATTTTATCTAGATAAAGCAATATAACATCAGATAATACGTGTTTTGGGGATAGCAAGTGGCTTTCCATGGTAGCTGTAAGGCACAATTTTAACAAAAGATCTGCCTTGGTGAGTAATCCTCATCAGATCTAAACATCATGTTTCTTGTGAGTAAAATGAGATAGAATGGTTCTTTTCAGAGTATCAGTTACCAGACTACCAGATGTTTTTTGATGTGGGAAATAAGCTTGATTCTCAGACACAAGCCTGTGTGTGCTGTGAATCTCCTGCTGCCTGTTTGCAATGTCTCAGGTCTTTCCCCTCATCCAAAGTTATTATTCATTGTGGTAGTTCCTTTTACGTAAGGAGGTAAAGAGAGTTACTCTCCCCATTATTGAAAATAAGAACCATACCTTTGTATGCCTGTTGAAGTGAAAAATTAGAGGTAGCGTGCACTTGAACTTTGGTGACTCACCTTTCTTTTCCCACTGCTGACTTAAGTTCATTTTGCTTTCCGGGTCTCTGTTTTATCCTCGGTCTGTAAATGTTTGAGCAGATA